TGGCAAAATTGCAGTCTTGGGAAACAGGCCAGCACTTTGACCTTTCAGAATTTGGCAGTGTACAGACAGGAAAACGTTTGCATTTGTTCCCTCTCCCTGGCATACCTTCAGATACACACAGCTTGCTCCCTCCTCCCACTGGGGTCTCTACCTAGATGTCCATGTAGTGGGGCTGCCCTACTGCCCTATCACTTCCTCTGCTAGGTTTCATGGTACTTGCTGTATCTCACAGTTTATGTTTATTTGTTAATTGTTCTCACTAGAACATGAGCTCAATGGGAATAAAGACTTTGTTTTGGTCACTGAAACTAACACTTCAGTTCTTTGATCAAACTAGCCACAGTTCAAGGATTCAATAGCCATATTTGACAAATGGCTACCACATTAGACAACGTAAACATAGAACATTTCTGTCATCTGTTTTTCATGTCTTATACAAAAACTATATTCAATGGACAAGTGATTTTTTTTATATTTAATTATTTGGTTGTTACAGGGTCTCACTACAGAGCTCAGACTCATGACGATCCTCTTCCTTTCAGCCTCCCCAGTGCTAGGATTACAGGCATGCACCACTATGCCTGGACTCGTGGTACCAGGGATAGAACTGTGGTCCCTGTGCTTGCCTAAGCTTGCCTAAGCAGGCGCTTCAGTCCGCTGAGCTATCTCACCAGCCCCAAGAAGCGATTTTGTATATAACAAAATTCACTTTTATTGAATGCTCTCAGGACCATTCTAATAATGAATCATGGACTAAGCAACAGGAATAAAAACCTCCCAGTAGTGGCTGGACAAGTCATACTCAGTAACAGCACTACAGTATAACTGGAGTATGGGAATGGAACTATGTTTGCTAAGTCCATGGAAAATAAGTATTTTTTTTAAGAGAAAAAATCAAAATCAGAGTGATTGACTTTTTAGAAACTAATGTCAAAAAAAAAAAAAAAAAAGTCTGAAATGTGGCCAGTGGCACAGGCAAAAGAAAATTTAGTCTTAATGGAATGTTTTAAAGTTAAGGAAGATATGCACTGGCCTCAGTGGCACACACCTGCAATCTTAGCACTCAAGAAGCTGAGGCAGGAGGACTGCTGTGAGTTTGAGGGCAGCCTGGACTACATGTGAGTTCAAGGCTGGACTGTACAGTAAGACTCTGTCTCAAAAAAAATTAAGAAAAAAATGAACTAACATTCAAAAAAAACAAAATACAAAAAGATGACAACTGACTAAAAGTATAGGGCATAGGAATAAGAAAATATATAATAGAGACTAGTCTAAGAAAATAAAATGATTCATACTACTTTATACCAATAAATGACAAAACTTAAGACCAGATGGTAGGGTGGTGTAGTCCTAGCACACTGGCTGCGCAGGAGGATCACAAGTCCAGCCTCCACCTGGACAATTTAGTGACTTAGTGATAAAATAAAGGGCTGGTGGGCAGGCCGAGCATAGCAGCCAGGGTTTGATCCCCGGCATGCTGTGCCGGCCCCACCCCAGGGACGCACTGAGACTGCAGATTGAGACTGGGTGTGGCGGTACACGCCTGTAATCCCATCACTTGGGAGGCTGAAAACAGGAAAATCACTCTATGAGTCTGATCTGTGTAGTAAGAACCCTGTAGATTTTTATGTACTAAATACATAAAAATAAATAAAAATTAAACACAAAGGGCTGTAGCTGTAGCTCAGTATGAAGGCTCTGGGTTCAATTCCCAATACTAACACACACACACACACACACACACACACACACAAAGTAAAATCAAGTATTTCAATAAAACATTGTATGTGTAATATTCAAAGAAATTGAACATTTACAATGTGATTTTTCAGAATTCGTTCAATACCTAAATAAAATTTTACTCACCAAGACTTGCATTTTATTCTATACAAACTATGAACATTACTTATTTAATTAAATTAAGAAAATATGTGGCATACAGTCCTTTAAAACAAGGAACAAGGGCCAGCCAAATAGCTCAGCAGACTAACCCCTGCTTAGGCAGGCACAGGGACCAGGGTTAGATCCCAGACATGCTGGCCAGCCCGCCCCGGGGGCACAATGAGGCAACTGAGACCAGGCATGGTGGCACACACCTGTAATCTCAGGGCTTGGGAGTCTGACCTGTGTAGTGAGACACTGTAGTCCCTGTACCAAAATACATTAAAAAATAAAACAAGGAACATCAGCATTTGATGAATATGAAAACAAACTTCATGAGACAAACACTATACACATCCAGTATAACTCAGAGGATTTGGGCTTTATTTACAAATTGCTTCACTGGGAAAGGAACTGGAGTTTGTAAGTTGTTTTTGCTGATGGGAAAATGAAGCTAACAAATTAGTAATGGAAAAATGTGATATAAATCCAAAATACTTTTAACTTCAATTCCTGTGTACCCAAATGACGTAATAAATGAAAACAAAATATTGAAGTCTATCAATATGTAAAAAAGGAGTCAGCTGCCCATATACTATACGGAAGTTCATATTTTTTAAATCCCTTTGCAGAATAGTGCATTAACTTTCTAAAATAATGTCGCCTACTCCTGAAGGTTAGCAGATAACATCACTACACATCCTATGTGTTTATTTCTCTTGCTGCTTTTGTCACTGTGGTACAATATCAAAGTTCCAACCCAAAGCTTTATGGCCCCGCTTTCAAGCTACTGTTACAGATTAAAAAAATAAAGCTCTACATAAAAAGTTGATGCTTTAAGGCTCAGTAACCGAACAAATGAACAAATGTATCATCTGTCCCCATAAAAGGAATATGAAAGTTTTCTTTTGTGAACCAGCTTCATAGTATGCTATTCTGTCCAGTTTTTTCAAGTATGAGAACTCCAAAGAGATACATAAACGGATGGTGAATGGCTTCTAAGCTCCGTGGTTTTTTTAAGCCAGAAACCTTTGAAAAAGGTCTAGTTCTAACAAATTCTCAAAAATTCACATGTTCTTCAAAAAATTTCAACTGGCGAGCTTTCACACTGTAAGCCGTGTATTTGTCACCCATGTGCTCCCGTAAACGTACCTATTTGGGAAACAAAAAGAAAATCAGTATATAGTAGAAAAGAATTTCTGCCGTCTTAGAAGGGGCCCTCAGCATGATCCTGAAGGTGCTGACTGTATGGGAAAATACTAGTACTTATGTTTAACAAAAATGTACAACTTTAAGCTTAAATATAAGTATAAAAGAGCAAACAATAAGCCAGCAAAGATACTTGCCACACATATAGAGTTCTTTAAAATCCAACACTATTAGGATACTGGAATTTATAAAATAACAAGATCCCAGATAACCCTGCAACATTTACAAAACAGTAATACAATTACCTAATACCTAAAATCCAACCTAACTGTAACCAAAAAAGTATTGTGTGCCGGGCATGGCAGCACGTACCTGTATTCCCAGTGTTCAGGAGGCTGAGACAGGAGGATCAAAAGTCCAAGCCCAACCTAGGTAGTTTAGTGATTTAGCAAGGCCTTCTTTCAAAAGAGGTGAGGACAGAACTCAGTGTAAAGGCTCTGGGTTTAATCCCCAGTACCGAAGGAAGAAAGAAAAGCTTTGTGACATTCAACGTGTATGTGTTCTTGGTGCCGGGGAGATGGCTCCGTAGAATAAGTGCTTGCCTGGCAAGCTCAAGGGCCTGAGTTCAATCCCCAGTTCTGTTAAAAAATAAACCATGTATGTATTCTTTTTTCTTTCTTTTTTCTTTTTTTGTGCATTTAGTACAGGGTCTACAGGGTCTCACTGCACAGACTGGACTCCCAGTGATCCTCCTGTTTTCAGCCTCCCAAGCACTGGGATTAGGGGTGCACACCACCATGCCCAGTCTTCAACATGTATGTGTTCTTAAACGGGTCACTGCCTCCTGATACAGTGTATGCAGGACACCATGACAAATTATCACCTTGATCTATTCAAGAGAAATCTAAACCAAGTGACATTCTAGAAAACAGATGGCCTGTTCACATCAAAAATGTCAAAATTATGAACTGTTCCAGATTGAGATGTAACTACATACAAAATGCAACCGTGACTGGCTCACAATGCACACGACAGCATGAAGGGCTCTGCAGACACCTCCCCAATGAAACTGGTGAGAATTAGTTTCAGAACCAACCATTTCAAGGACACAAATGGCCTCGAGGCGCATAGCATATGAGGAAACACTGGAGAAAACCTACTAAAGTCTAGTAAGAACAGTGAGAGTCATTTTGCACCAATCAAGACCAAGTGCCATTCTGGAGCTCCGTGAAACAAAAACTTCCAGAATGGGAAGCCATAGGCACAGCCGGTTTGCCAGCAGCTCCCAGGCTGTCTTCCCGGAAGGCAGGGCCTTCACCTTCGACCTGTGCTGCCTGTGCCTAAGGCTCAGTTGCAGGAGAGTAGAGCCAGGAAGCACAAGTCCTCTTCTACCCAGGCTGTAGAGACCTGGGGGACGAAGGCTCTACCTTGAGTGTGGCAGTGCTGAAAACAATAGGGTCCAGTCTCTTTTGCTGTAGACCACAAAGTTCAGTCCCCACTAGGCAAAGCACAACAATACCAGAGGCTGCTATCACACCTTCCTTCCCCCACCAAGTGCTCGGTTTTATTTTGTTTTGTTTTTTCTTTTTTGGAAAAGATAGGTCCTGGTGTGTTGCCCAAGCCAGCCTGGGTTCAAATGATCCTCCTGAGTGGCTTCAACAACAAGCTTGGGCCACCACGCCTACCTCAGAGTGCACAGTTTCTTTTTTTTTTTTTTTTTTTTTGGCAGAACCAGGAATTGAACTCAGGCCCCTTGCACTTGCCAGGCAAGTGCTTATTCTACTGTGCCATCTCCCTAGGCCCCAGTGCACAGTTTCTAAAGTGGGAATGTCACAAGCATGTCATTGTCCACACCCCTCCTTTGAAAGCCATCTCTGACTCTAGTGATAGAAGCAGGTCATAAATCAGAATTCCAACTGTCTTCCTAAATGAACTTTCTTTGGAACAGACCATAGAGAATCTAGGCTGAGTGCTCTCAAAGAGTAGAAGTAACAGAGAAAGGCAACTGAGAAGCATTTGCTAGATTCGCTGATACGCAGGCTGCACTATAGTTGGGGCTAATTTACTGGAGAAACCAAGAGTCTGGGAGGAGCTCCATGGAGTCAGGAAAAAAGATCCCAAGCACTGGTCGAGGGAATGATGCAGTCAAAAGAGCCAACATTTGCCTGCTACTATGTGCTCTCTGTAGCCCAGGCGTTCTGGGAAGCTGAGGCAGAAAGATTGCAAGTTTGAGCCCAGCCTGGGCAACAGTAACTTAGAGAGACCCTGTCTCAAAAGCTATAAAAACAGCTTAGGATGTAGTTTAGTGAGAAGGCTCTAGTATGGAAAAATAATGATTGCATCAGCCTGTGGCACCGTGGACACCCTAGAGCACTGTTTTTTTTTTTTTTATACAATTAACATTTATTTATTTGTGTGTGTGTGTGTGTGTGTGTGTGTGTGTGGCCAGCTCAGCCCACCAGGGGGCGGGGCTGGCTGGCATGTGGTGCTGGGGGATCGAACCGTGGTCCCTCTGCTTTGGCCAAGCTTGTTCTAAGTAGGTGCTTTAGACCACTGAGCCATCTCACCAGCCCCTAGAGCACTGTTGAAAACAACAGGACAGTCAGGAAAGGAAAAGTTAAAAGCTGAGTAGTCTAGGAGAAGATGAGGCCTGCCTGCCTGTCACCCCAGGGACATTGCCTGGCTGTACTCTAAGGGGCAGCATCAAGGCCTTAATGCTACACTAGGGAATGAGGACAGATTGAGTCCACTAAAATAATACAGCCAGAACTAAACAAACAAACAAATAAATGCAGTACTTCCCCCCCGGGGGGGGGGGTCCAAAGTGGCCACAGTACATTATCTGAAAATGTCTAATTTCCAGTAAAATTATCAAATGTCAGCCGGGCCTGGTGATACACTTGGGAGGCTGAGGCAGGAAGATCACTTCAAATTCAAGCCCAGCCTAGACTACAAAGTGATCTCAGTGGGGTTGAGGATATAGCTCAGCAGCACAGCACCTGCCTGGCAAGTGCAAGGTCCTGAGTTCAATTCCCAGTACCAAAACAAACAAAAAAAAAAAACACAAAGTGAGCTTAAGGCCAGCCCGAACTGCATATGGAGACCCTGTCTCAAAAAAGACACACACAAAAAGCTGACATACAAAAACAAAAAAACCCAGCATGAAACATACATGAGAAAGAGCAAGCAACACAAAGAACCCACAAGCAATCAGAAATTAGGTTTAAGAAACATTTCAAAGTTGCTGTTAGAAATGTCTTCACCTTCTGGGTATAGTGGCACCCACGTAATCCCACCTACGTGGGAGGCTGGAGAAGGAGTAGCAAGAGTTCAAAGGCTGCCTGAAAACAGTGAGACACTCTCATGCAAAGCGAAACAAAATATGTTCAAAGAAATAACTATAGGAAGATATGACAATGTCATATCAAATACAGACTATCAACAAATAGAAATTATAAAAATACCAAAACGGAAATTCTAAAATTGAAAAGTATAATAACTGATACAAAAATTCACTAGAAAGGGCCGGCCAGATAGCTCAGTGGATTAAAGCACCTGCTTCAGCAGAGCGCAGGAACCGAGGTTCAAGCCCTGGCACCACAAGATGTGCCAGCCCCGCCCCCAGGGTGCTGTGAGACAGCAATTGAAACTGGGCATGGGGCATTCGCCTGTAATCCCAGCTCTTGGGAGTCTATAAACAGGCGGATCACTACAAGTCTGGTCTGTGCAGTGAGACCTCGTATTAAAATACATTTAAAAAAAAAAAAAGATTTAGCTACTGTAAGTTGTACTGCTATAAGCAGGGGGGTGACACATTGTATCAACTTAAAATGTTACAAAGTTGGCTGGATTCGCTGGGTGGTCCCACGCCCTAGGGATGGAGGCCCCGCCCCAGAGTGACTCAGCGCTTAAAGGGTCTCTAAAGGGGTTGAGGAAGGCTTCTGCGCGCTCCACTTCCTCGGCGGAGTTCAGATCTTCGCAGCCACTCGAAGCCCGGCCTCTTTGGAGGAGCTGGATCCTCCAAACGCCACTCTGCGCCCCTCCGGAGCAGCTCCAGTCTCCGCAGTCAGCACAAAAGGACGGGACAGAAGAAGCTTAACAGATACCACCACTGCTGCGCCTCTGGCCGTGCTCCGCTGTTCTCTGGCGCCTCGCACTGCTGCCTTCCGCCCTGGAGCCAGCCACGTATGGACTAAAGCCTCCACTAACTGCGCTGCAGAAACCTTTCCTTCCTCCATTTTGGGTGTTGGGTGTTTTGGCCAAGCAGTGAGTAAAAAGTAACTGAAACAGGCCTCTGCATGGGTCGCTGTACGTGATGTCTTTAACTCTTTCAGGAAGGCTCCTAGAAGAGGGATAGCTGGATCGACGGCGTTTCGATGGCAAGGTTTTGAGGACTCTCCGTACTGATTTCCACCGTGCCTGGCCTGTTTACGCTCCCCCCAACCATGCCACAGCACTCCTTTCTCCCCACTGCCTAATCAGCATTTGTTACTGTTTGATTTCTTGATGGTAGCCATTCTTAATGGAGTCAGGTGGAATCTCAGTGTTGTTTTAATCTGCATTTCCCTAATGGCCAGGGATCTTTCAAAAAGCAAATTTTAAGAACATACTTTTTGGTAAATGTAAATATATGGGCAATTATAAAAACTAGTATTACCATAACATTGGTTTGCAATTTCACTTTTTGTTTGCTACATGATTTAACAAACTAATACATTAAATCATGAGTCTATAAGCAAGCATTATTGTAACTTTGGTTTGTAATTCCACATTTTTGATTTCTACAAAATGTATTTATTTATTTATTTTATTTTTTTATTTTTGGCGGAACTTGGGATTGAACTCAGACCCTTGCGCTTGCCAGGGAAGCGCTTATTCCACTGAGCCAGCTCCCCGGGCCCTTACAAAATTTAAAAGACTAAAACCAATTTTAAAAAACCAATTACTGTGCTGGGGAGATAGCTCAGCGGCATAAGCACCTGCCTGGAAAGCGTAAGGTCCTG